ATATTTCCCATTTTGGGGGGCGGGGATAACTTATGAGTTTAAATTCCCTATCTTGTGACATCCCCCCTCCCGCGCCGTGCCCGTGTCCGGTGTGCGCCTTTATGATGCCTTTGATCCCACAGGGGGACGGCGTGCAGCCTGGGGATGATGGCGGGGCGGGCCGGCTCCTTCACCGGCAGCCTCGTGTTCGGCCTGCTCCTCAGCACGCAGTGCTCGGCCGCCCTCTGCGGCCTGGGCGCCCTCCTCGTGGGTGAGCAGCGCGCCATACTCGACCCTCTGGCGCGACGAGTCACTGTACTTACAGCGTGCTCTCGGTTGCAGTGAGCGGCGCCCTCAGCCTGCTGCTGCCGCGCAGGGGCCTCTACGCCACGTGATGACCCTCCCCGGAGCCTGGAGCCTGGAGCTTCCAGGACTGGCTCGGCTCGTCTCTCGCCCTCGACTTATAAACACTGCCACCCCATTCTGGTCTGCTTCTGTTTTTTGCCCCTTACACCCTCAGGGATCGTCCAGAAAGTACGCCCGTCGTTCGCCGTTCAGCCTCTGGAAGCTCTCATAACGCCTGGTAGGTAGGCAATATCTTGCCTGCAGGGCATCCACGCACTGCGGGTTGGCCTACCCCGAGTCTCGCAGGCGCCGAGCTACATTAATTTGCCGGACGGATTTGAGAAAAACGGACGTATTTTCTGGACGGTCCCCTACGTCGGGGCCAGTTCACCTGCGCCCGTCCCGGGTCGAAACGTGACACAACCACAACGATCAGAAACGGTTTATTTAAAGGTGAAATCGATGTCGCCACGGTCATGTTTCAACATCGTTTTAAGTGCCATTGTGCTGCGCTCTGGAGTCATCCTCCAGAGGCTGTGGCTGTGTGGTGCTGCAACTCCTCAGCCACCATAGTTCTCCCGCGAGTCAAACAAGTACACAGCATTTTGTGAGATTGTAATTTTAATAATACTTTTGTTTTATTGCTTACATTACTCCTTAAAATCTATTTAAATTTATCAGTCGCTTAATATCAATACGTATCCCTCGCCACTACAGTTAAGTGATGGAGGGGGGAAATATGTATACAGTAAAACAAATTTTAGTTGAGATTCGAACTCTCAGTCAGTCAACAAGCTGGTCAGCACCGGCAACAGGTCAGCACCAGTCAGCAACAGGCAGCCGATCAGTGCGGCCATCTGGTCAGCTTGCAGTCGGCCGCGGTCAGCACGCAGGCAGCCGTGGGTTTGAGGCAGTCCGTCGGCACTGGTCGGCCCCGGCATGCAGCTCACCCGCCTCCTCACACGCAGTCAGTCAGCGACAAGCAGCCATGCGGCCACCTGATCAGCAGGCAGGCAGCCGCGGTCAGTTCGTGGATGCAGTCGGTCAGCAGCACGGTCAGCAGCACTGGTCAGCACAGGCAGCGGCAGCGCCTCGCCCTGTCGCAGTAGCCGCCGGGGCAGCCGTGGCGCCCGCACTGGCCGCGACACGTGTGCACGCTGCAGCGCTTGCCAGGCCGCAGCAGCGTGTCGTCCACCCGGTTGAGCGACAGCAGCGAGGGGTCCAGCCCGTTGACGGCCAGCAGCACGTTCAGCAGCGAGTCGCCCACGCCGATCGCCGGCCGCGGGTCGTCCTCCAGCCCGGGGACTGCGAGGAGGAGGAAGAGGTTGTCCGTCAGCACCGCTGAGCACGTCATCGTCGACAGCCCCACCGCCCGTGTACAACTCACCCAGGACGACGGGCAGGTCCGCGCTGGCGCCGGCTGGCCGCAGGCGGGAGGTGCCGTCCACCTCGCTCACGTCCAGGAGTGCGTCCTGCAGGCCGCCGCCGGCGGGCTCGTAACCGTCGACGTCGCCGTAGTAGTGGGCCGCGTCGAGGGACGCGCCTTCGAGTCCTGGGGGCAGGGGGTCAGTGTGAGGCAAGATGTATACTTCACTCAAAAAGAAATAATTGTCCCATCCCCCCCCGAAAAATCAGGGTTAAAAATCAGAAGAAAAAAATCAAGAAAAAGCAATTGAAAAAATTCGAAAACCCCCAGCAACAAGGAAAATCAAGAGAAGATAGAAAAGTTGGCGTACGATTGAATTTCTAGTGAGGTGTCCCTCGGTGTGAGAGCTCGTACTCACCCCAGTCCAAGTCCAGCGCGGCTGCGGGCGCCGGCGGCAGGCCGAGCGCCGTCCAGCCCAGCAGAGCGATCGCGGTCAGCATCGTGGTGCGTTTGGTGCGTCGGAATGGTGTGTGTACCCGCGGCCGGCCGACCGACTTCCATATATACCCGCTCGCCTTAGCAAAATAAGATAACGCATTATCTCGATGGGATCTCTCCTCTGAAAACAGGTCGACGCGCCTTTGCTCCTTTGTTTATCCCCCCCAGTTAGAAATCAGTGGTCGAATCGACCTCGAATCGACGTCGATAGGTCGGTCGAAAAATTGTCGATTCCAAATGTCGAATCGACGGGACTTTGTCCCGCAAATCGACGTTTTTTCGACATCGACAATTTCGATACTTTATCAACAAGGGACAAAAGGGACAGATTTCAACGGTTGAGCAAGGTCTGGAAGCGACTGCTGGTGTCCGTAGGCACCCGCGTCGCCACCATATTCAAAAATTACTGCAGAAGATGAAGTTCGTGATGGACATCTCCCGCGCCCGACAGAACACGTCTCCAGACTATAGTTGTTTTGGCGTTGCGGGTCACCAGCGAGAGCTAACTGTACAGTCAGGGGAAGACCTTGTCTCGAATCGACGTCGAATCGACATCGATCATATACAATACGAAATTTCTTGCAATTTAGTACCAGGAACCGTTCTGTAACACTTTAAGACCCATTAGCTGAGT